CATCCAATTTTTGTTGAAAATGTGTAGGGATAACTTTTGTATAATGACAGATTGGAATATTTTCTATCATATACAATTTAATAATCCAAGCAGGAGAAAATGGTACAGCCTTACCTCGTACGAAGACAACTCCTTGGGTAATTCCTTGTAAATTTGCATAAAAGTCCTTTACTACAGGTACAATAATTGTAGCGGTACTGTAATACAAAACTTCCCATTGCCTTTGCAGAATAATTTTATCAATCGGAGTACTTGGATTGATCAATCCATGATTAACAAAACGTCTCTCCTTGATCAATCTTTTGTTCGTAATAACTTTGTCGTATAATCTCTGCTCATAGAAACTAATTTACTTTCCTCTATTGAAAACTCCATACCTTGAAGTATTTCTAGAATTAGAAGCCCTAGAATTCAATAGGAAGTTTCTAGTCATCCAAGGCAGTTGTTAGGACTTTAAAAACACCTCCCGACAGTTATTATGGAGCGAAATTTGGCCAAAGTCTGCCAAAAGTTGTTTGAACCGTCAAACCGCTCTCGTTACCGTCGGCGCTCCCGATTAGCGCTACCGGCACTGAAGTCCATTTTCTTGGGCGCCATCGGCTCACATTCTGGTGTCGTCGGTGTCAGTGGCCAAAATTTACGACTTTCATTTTTTGTTATATTTAATTTCAAATTTTCCTCCAATACCAACATTTGGCTTAATTTATAATAAATGCAATTGTGTAGGATTATTATCAGTTATCAAACAAAGTAGTAATACATATGTAAATTTATATATGGGTTGCCTCCCACAAATTGCTTGGTTAAACGTCGTTAGCCCGACATATCATTTGTTTAGTTGGGTTGAATTAACATTGAAACTTCTCTAAATTGAGGTATGTGCCCTTCATAATAGTGTCTCAAACGATTACCATTAAATTTACATATCTTTCCATTTTTAGGATCATTAATAACAATAATTCCATAATGATAGACTTTAATCACTTTAAATGGTCCTAACCATCTGGATTTCAGTTTTCCTGAAAGCTCTTATATTATATAATAGAACTTCTTGTCTAGGTTCAAACTTATTTTTAATAATCTTTCTATCATTCCATATTTTCATTTTCTTTTTACAAATTTTTGCATTATCATATGCTTTATTTCTAATCTCCTAAAATTCATTGGTTGCAACAATCTTTTCTCACTAGTATCTTTTAGATTAAAATTAAATTCCTTAATAACCCAAAATGTTTTATGCTCCAATTCTACTGGTAAGTGACATGTTTTTCCAAAAATAAGTCTATATAGTGACATTCCAATAGGAGTGTTATAAGCAATTCTGTATGCCCATAATGCAATATCTAATCTAGCAGACCAATCCAATTTATAGGGGTTTACAGCTTTTTCTAAAATTCATTTTATTTCACGATTTGATATCTCTGCTAGACCGCTAGTCTGAGGATGATAAGTAGTAGAGAATCTATGCATAATATCATATTTTTAAAAACTTAATTTCTCGATTCCCCTATTCCTAAAATGGGATCCTCCATCCGTAATATTTACTCTCGACATTCCATATCTTGTAAAAATATTTTTATTTAAAATTTTAGAAACACTCCGAGCATCACATCTAGGTACAACAATAGATTCTATTAATTTTTGTTCTTGAATTTTAGTTAAATCAGAAGATACAATAACAAGTAATGTAGATGAATCTCCTACAAACACAAATTTTAAATGAGTAGATAATATTTTCAGTTCAAGTTCAACTGGTTTAATATTTGAAGGAATAAGAACTTTATTATCATTTTCCTTATTATCATTTTCTAACAAATTAAAAGTTTCAAATTTTTCCTGAATATAATCTAAATTCTCTTCTTTTATTTCATTCTCATTCTCACAATACTCTTCTTGCCTTAATTTTTCTTCAAACACTTCCTTAAATTGCTCATTACTCAGATAATCAGTAAATTCCATCCTAAAACATTTGTTATTTTTTTCTATTACAGGATACTTCATAGCCTTTACAATATTAATTGTTACTTCTTGATGATTAACTCTCATCATTAATTTTCCTTTTTGAACATCTATTACAGCTCTTCCTATTACGAGAAATGGTCTCCCTAAAATAATGAGAATCTCTTTATCTTTCTCCATATCCAAAATTATAAAGTCTACAGGAAAAATAAATTTATCCACTTTTACTAATACATATTCTATAACTCCGTTAAGACAATTTATTGATGGATCAGCTAACTGAAGAGTTACAGTAGTAGGAGAAATCTCTCCTAAATTTAAACATTTAAAAATCAGTAGAGGCATAAGATTGATACTCGCTCCTAAATCACATAAGGCTTTTCCAAAAAAAATTTCACCAATAGCACAAGGTATAGTAAAACTACGAGGATCTTTTAACTTTTCAAGAAGCTTTTTCTGAATAATAGCGCTACACTCTTCATTGAGCGCAACAGTCTCATGATCTGCAAACTTCCTTTTCTTACTTAGTATATATTTCATAAATTTCAAATAACTTGACATTTGTTCCAAAGCCTCAATGAAAGGAATGTTTATCGTTAACTTTTTAAGGATTTCCAAAAATTTTGTAAACTGTTTATATTTATTCTTTTGCTTCAATCTTTGTAAACTGTTTATATTTATTCTTTTGCTTGTGGTTTTTCTAAAGGAACTTGTATTGGTTAATTTTCATTGTGGCGCTTTCAATCTCTTCCTCAACTTCAGTTTTTCTTTTGATTCTTGTTTCTACTTCTTTTCCACTTCGTAATTGAATAGCTTTAATTTGCTCCTTATTTTGATCTTTTGGATTAACTTCCACAGTACTCAAAAGAATTCCTGAAGGTCTGTTACAAAGTGTAGTAGCAATATGTCCTAATTGATTTTCAATATTTTTAATATCATCCCCTTGATTTTTTATTTGATTTCCCATATTCAAAATTACTTCTTCCATCATCAACTTCTTTTTCTTAACTTGTAGGTTAGGGTTAGAGTTAAATCTAGGAGAATAATAAGGTCAATAATTAGTATTTCCTTAGTTATTTAAATTTCTTTAGGGGTTCACCAAATTGTTATAATTATTCTAACTAAAATTAGGGTGATTTTTCCATCTAGGTTTATAATAATCATAATAGGGACTATTACTTCAATTATTTATAGCATTCAAAGTTTCATAAGATGATTGAGTATCAATTATCTGTGCTAGTGAATTTTCCTCTAATACTAGTGGTATTTGAGAAAAGTTCACTCCAATTTGATCAAACTTTTTTGATATAGCAGCAATTTTAGATGGTAAAATATACATTGCATCAAAGTTATGAATATTGGCTACTCTCTTAGGATTTACCCGTACAGAGGGCCATTAAAAATTGTTAGTAGTCATTTCTTCTATTAAAGAGTATGCTTCATCAAAAGATTTTGACATTAGTGATCCACCTGCAGCAACATCTATAATAGATTTAAAATCACTAACTAATCCCACTAATATATTGTAAAATGTTTGAATTATTAACCAATCTGGTAAAGCATGGTGTGGACATTTCCTAAGGAGATCTTTTAATCTTTCCTAGGCTTCATATATCGATTCCTCTTCAAACTAACAAAAAGATGTAATATCATTTCTAAGCTTAGCAATTTTGGAGGGTGGAAAATATTTAGCCAAAAATATTTGTGATAGTTCTCTCCAAGTCACGATAGATCTAGGTGCTAATGAATTTAACCAAGCTTTAGCTTTATCTCTTAATGAAAAAAGGAAAATGTGTAAGCCTAACAACATCATTAGACACTCCATATTTAAAAGTAGCACATATTTCAAGAAAAATAGCAAGATGTAAGTTAGGATCTTCAGTAGGTGTTCTTCCAAACTGAATATTTTGTATCATTTGGATAATAGCAAGTTTACGCTCAAATGAATTAGCAACAACATCAGAATTTTGAATAGTCAAGTGAAGTTCATCTACTGTCGGATTAACATATTCTTTTAAAAGTCTTTGTCAATTTTCATTTATTTGATTATCTAATTTATTTACCATTTTGTTCAAATTTTTAATCTCTTTTTTTTTCAAATTTTTCTAATAATACATTTCTCTGCTAGGGTTTTCATGGCTCCCTGCTTTGGCTTGCTGGTAGGCTGGTGGTGGAGGATGGTTTCTTCTTCTCTGCTGGAAGTTTGGTTTGCTGTAGTTCTCTTTTTCTTTGGGTTTCCTCGTCTTTCTTTGCTTTTTGCTTTCTGGTTTTCTTCTTGGGATTCTTTCTCTGGTTTTTGGTGTCATCACTTGGTCTGTGGCGGTGACCAGACTGGCTGCTGGTGCTGTTTTTATGTTCTGAAGTCTTCTTTGCTGAAGTGGTTGATGTGGAAGTGCTTCTCTACTACTTGGGTTACTGTTCCATTGGGTTGTTGGGTTGGTTCTTCTGGTTAGTTTCTGGTTTCTCCTTTTTCCAGTGTTTTCATGGCTACAAACATTGATTTGGACACTAACATTCAGTGGGCTAAGGCTTCCTATGTTGGGGTGGTCGGTCACCCTAAGGAGAATTTACAAAATACGGATAAGTTAATCTTTCCACAGGAATTTCATGATACTTTAGCTGGAAAAAAAATTTCTCCCTGTATTCACCCTCTTGGGTGTAAAGAAGGGGAGCCTGCAATTTATTTTTTACCTCAGGAGGTTATTTCTTTAAATGAAGAGGTTAAGCTCACTTTGGTGGGTAAATTCCAACTTATTCATCCTAAGATGGAACTTGTAAGGAGCTTTTTTGAGTCCTTGAACTTTAATGGTGCTTGGCAACTGGGTTTACTAGATGGCAGGAATTTACTCATTCAATTAACAGTTGAAGAAGATTATGCTAGGCTCTTTGCCAAACAATCATTAATTATTGGGGGGGATACCATGAAATTAATGAAATGGACCCCTGGCTTTGGCAAAGAACCTCCTGTAGTTCCTCTTTGGTTCAAGCTTCCTGGTCTCC